TTATCAATGTTATCCTTCACCCACTCCACCCCTCTGTCTTCACAACCTACTGCAGATAACTCCCTCCCCCCGTCCGGCTGTAATACACATAACGGTTGCATCTCCAAACAAGTAAAATTCTCCCATGGAACCATCTCCACAAAAACCCCTTCAGAGTCATCCCCTATTGTTTCTGAGCCAAAATCCAGCAAACAGTTCAATCCCTTCAACCCTTTATACATTCTTAATTCCTTCACCAATATTGTCGCAGCCTCCTGACTTAACTGAAACTTTGAGCCACATCCCCACGCACACTGTAACTCCATCCACACCTACCGGCGCTGCTATCACTGATACATTCTCCCTTAATATCTTGGGAGAAGAGCTCATCAGAATATCCAGTGTGTGATTCCACAAATGTCCCACCTCATCTTCCGTCTTTGCATCTAGCCCTATCCCCTCCGAATCCACTTCCACCACAATCGACAACACCCCATTTTTCTCTGACTTCCAGTCAACCTCCAACCCCATTTCCCTCCTCAACACCCCATAAGGAGTAGAAGAAGAAGAAGAAGAAGGAGCAAAAAGAAAGCTCCGAGAATTAGGGCAAAGAGACATACCAGGTTGGCTTTCCTTTGGGCAAACCCATTTCTGTTTCTCCTTTCGTGACCAACGCCTCCCATCTCTAGCTGTGGGATCGTCATCCTCATAAGAAGTGGATTGCAGAGACCAAAATCGATTGTCCGAAGCCATCTGCATACAGCAACTCCCATGTTGAAACCTTTTCCCCTTGCGACTGCTATAAGAACTGGCTCTAACCCAGTTCTCTTTCTCCAATCGCGTCCAGTGTCTGTTATCATCACCAAGTACCACTACAGAATTCCACACCTAGGCTTAGCCCAACCCATTCACTCTGGATCTCCTCTCTTCTTCCTTCGAACCCAAGCCCAAAACTCAAATGGACAGGCTCTTATTAGGCCCCAGTACATAGCCCTATCTCTCTTCTGTTGGATCAAGTTATTAGGCCTATACCCATCATTGGACTTATGCTTCTGAATATAAGAACCAACTGACCTATTGCGCAGCCCATTAAGCGGCCCACGTCCCACCGGCCCAGCCCCTTCCAAAACCCTATCCGTAATCTTCGAAACCCTATCCCCTGCATGTGTACGCCTCCAATCCACCCCTTCCCCACTCTTCTTCCGCGCATACATATCACTTCGTCCCTGACCTTGCTGCCATCCATCTTTCTCCAATCTACCCAAACTCGCCGAACGGACTGAACTAGCATCGGATCTGCGAGACACACGTCCATTCTTCTCAACATTCAAAGATGCCATGGGTTTCGCCACCACAAAAGGAGCAATCTCCTCCATCACTGAGATCTTGAAAGCCGAAGCTCTGTCTTCAACGATCATGAACTCCGGGATGACCCCATCGTCGTCCACCGTTATGACTATCCTTTCTGTCTCGCTCTCAGAGACCTTGACCTCCCTAAACCCACCATATAATTCCCCTATAGATTCAAAGAGCTTCTGGCACCAAAGATGTAGTGGACAGCCAAACAGCACTATCCTTCTCTGCCTCGTCATTTTCCTCATCCCCAAGCACCCAACTCTGTAACACCACAAATCGATTAACAGTTGTGCATCACCCCAAGATTTCTTCCCCAATCTTAGCACCCTCTTCACTTCCTTCTCCAATGGAAATCGAAACGCAATAGCCCATCTGGTAGATTAGAAACCCTAACCCCACATGAAATATGCCAAATCCTTGAAGCTCACTCCTCAATTCCTTCCAAGCTACCCACATCTCTATCGAATCACCCAACGAGGCAAGATTGAAGCGTCGTTTCGCGGAGAATCGTACTCTGATCATCCACCCGAAGGACAAACCCTTTGTCTGTAAACGTTCGCACCACATCTCCCTTCAACCCCAATCATGGCAGACTCGCTACATCCAAAAACGTCCTCTTCATAACATAATATATGTATTCAATTTATGATTTCGGATACATGTGTCTTTTTTTCTATCTCTGATCCTTTATTTATTAGCTTAATTAAAATTCCTAAAGATGCATTGCACATATTAAAAAAAATAATAATAATAATAATAATAAAGAAAAAAGGAAAACCTATTCACTGACAGCTACAATGGAATCAAGATCAAAGGTAGCAAATTTCCTTTTGTTGAAGTCAACAACATCCTCTTCCAAACAGCCTTTGCTTAGTGTCCCGTAGTTGAAGAATATAGATGAAGATGGATCGAAAGAGCATGCAGACTTGACAAAGCATGACATCTCAAATAAATACCAAATAAAGCAGGAGTACAGTGTTGTGCTTCAAGAGAGATTGCATACAGGGATGCAGAATTAACACAAATCTGTACGCACTCTTTTAAAGCTGGTATGTGGATTCTCTAATCATCCTACATATGGTACCTTCCACAATACTCTTGTGTTTTCGGTTGAGAATTTCCGAGATTATAAATATATTGTTACTCAAGCTTGCATAGAGGGAGAAGCAAGTATTGCTCAATTTGAAGTTGGTTTTAGTTATGTGAATCATGGGATAACAAACGACTCTTGTGTTGACTATTCAGCTAAAAGGAAAAGGTTGGTTATTTCTAGAAACCTTATATTGGGCTTGGTATTATGGTATCATAAATGGAAGGAAAAGGAATCAGTTGTCCAAGGGCAGCCTAATTTTTTCATGAAAATACAACCTCAGAAGATGAAATTGGAGGCCGTTGCAAAATTCATCTTTCTAATTTGCATTGCCAGCATGATGATGCAATATTATGATGTTTTTTGGAGATGTGACCAGCAAAAGTCTCTATTGTTGACTGTGGAAGATGCATGCTATGAAGAACAAACAGGGGATGCTATTTGCAACATGTTTTTGCAAGTCCACATGCAGGATGATTTAATCATTGGCCAAACTGTTTTTGCTAGGTGGATCCAGTTGATGCAGGCTCACTCTGGAGGGATTCACAGTATATTCCAAAGAAATTTTAAAATTGGTCGCCCATTTTTCTCTGAACAAGAAAAAAATGTGAGAATCTATAAGTCAAGAGATGTGGTAGAATTGTACCCAGAAGATGCTAGAATTGGTAAATCGCTCAAGTCATCAATGGTATCAAATTTTGTTCATACTCATATATGATCCGAAACTCGAGGACGAGTTTTTTTTAAAGAAGGGGAGCCTGTAGTACATGAATGGGCAGACATGAACAGTACTCGGGAATAGTGTTTTCTAGTTTATATTTTCTGTTTTAGGAAAGTTTTCGTTGTTTTAATTTCCTAATAGTTTAGTGTATGCCTTAGGAAAGTTTTCATTGTTTTAATTTCCTTAATAGCTTTATGTTTGTTTTAGGAAAGTTTCCATTGTTTTAATTTCCTATATAGTTTAGGATTTGCTTAGGCTTATAAATACATGCTATTGTAACAGTTTAGGGGCAACCAATTATCTCTTTTATTAATATCAGAAAACTGAGAGTTTTCTCAATCTCTTCCCGTGGATTCGAGTGTTTAAAGAATACATTGCTATTCTTAATTATTCTGCTTGCTTTCATTGATCCGCTGCGTCAGTGAGGATGGGCTTGAATAATGTTTTTGGATTTGAAATGTCCCAGGTGTGTGTGTATACTAGTTGTGTTATCAGAATTTATCAGAATACCAAAGCATTGATGTATATAGCCTCTGTCTCAGCTTCTGTGCCTTGAACTTTATGTACACATATATGAGTATATTTAGAATGCATATTTAATGTCTGACCATGAATATCCCATGTGGACCAAACAGTGCTCATGCACTCCACACTGTAGACTGAGACCTACGCTTGTCCAGTGAGTCCCCTTCATGAAATTGTTAACAAGTTGTTTGGTGTATGAGTAAAGAAGTCCCAGGAAATCATTTTAGGAAATTATTAATAATTATTATTGAAGCATGGGCTCTAGGTACACAGTTGAAACAATTCAACACTAATTTGGAAATGATTAAAGTTTTGTCCTTTATGTTGTTTTATCATTTTGTATTATTATTGATTAATTACGTATATACATATGAAGATACGTGATGATTGGCGTTCCATGGATAGCTTATATACAAATTTATGTATTGCGCATACCCATTACTTTGATGGCTCAAAAGAGCAGTTGCGAATGGGCTTTTATTTTTTAATATTTTTTACGTTGGTGACAAGTTATAAATAGATTATTTAGGGAAAAAAAAAAGGAACAACAAATACAAAATGAAAAAGTGTTTATATTTATCTTCCTCTCTTCTCATGTCACGGGCTCGGGTTCTTGGGACCGGGGCGGCACACATGTATATGAGATTCAGACATCCCTAAACACAATTTTTTTGGGACTCAACTTGAAATGTATCCAAAACTTGGATACCAGTAGGTGAACACATTTGTTTTTATTTATTTATTATTATTATGATTTAAAAATAATAATGTGATACATTATATTTTTAAGTAGCATATTTTGTTTTTAAGTATGCATAATAATTTAAATTGAATGAAACTAAATCATATATAGTTGAAAGAAGATTCTACCTATCTCATCAGTAGGGAACTCTCCTTCACTATCAAATTTGAGTAATTTTCCTTCTTCCATCATCATAATTATTAGATAATCTACATGGCCTATTTAGGTATATGTATCGGAAACACATTTTATATCCATGTCGTGTCAACACAGGTACATAAGAGAGTCCAGGTAACACAACCGCATACCAATTGGAATTGGAACCTGCACCCTTTAAGGTGGCTGAACATATACCACTCAACCTAATAGCTGGTGGTCATAGCCTCGTACTCTCCAAAGTCCACAAAAAATTTTTAGTCAGTTTTAAAACCCTAGATATCAGATTTCTAACCCAAGCAGGATCACCGGGATTCAGAAAATGAACATCAACAATAAAGTCAGCACAAACATAAATGTTACCTTCAATATTTGCAATTCCTAGATTCAGCTATACAGTATATAGACTGGAAGATATCATAACTACTCACCCGTATGCATCTACAATTTCTTGAAAAGCAGAAGAGAATTTGTTTGTGCGGAAATACGTAGGTGGTGATTCCTTGGTATGCAAAACCTGGAGTATGGCCCCAACCTGTGAGTTGCTGTCAAAGGTAGCCTGCTGCATTGCATCTTGAATCTGTAAAAAATGGCCTAAGCAAGTTGAATACTTTTACAACTACTAATAAAATGGGTACTTGTAGCTTACTATGAGATATATTAATCATATGACAAATGCATGCTCTCTGCAACATCTAAATAAGAAAATAACACAGTTTCAAATAATATACCTGTTTTGTCGCAAAAACAGGACACCAGCCTTCTGCAACAAGGCACTTTTTGGTCACATCAATGCTGAGCATATTTAAGGTGTGGTAAATGGATTTCTCCTTCTTCACCTTCACAAGTAGAAAAACATTAAATTTCAGGAGAATGAACATGATTTCGATGCATATACCACACCTTAAATTTCAGGAGAATGAACATGATTTCTTCATCTTTGCAAGATTTGTTTCCTCATGGCGCACACACAACTAACACATATAAGAAGTCATACATAGGGACAAATAAGTGCCTGTAAGCCAGCAATAAAACAACTGCTACTAACCAGAACGTTCCAGCACTCAAATTGATGGCCAATAGTCTGTAACAGATTACCGCGATGCATCAGTCCAAAATCTATGGTAGTCTTCAGCTCTAAAATTTTTCCAGAGACCTAAAAATCATAAGGCAATAAATTTCAGATTGCAATCTGAAACCAAATAATGATTGGCCAAAATTAAACATAATAACATGTTTCATCTATTTGACCAGGACACTTACAGATCAAGCCAAGGTAATATAATTGCAATAGAACTCATTAACTATAAGCATGTTCATTTATATGAATGCTCCAAAATTCATCAAGATGTTGTGCATCTTTTAAGATTTCTTTGATGGTTTCTTTCTAACAAATTTATACCAGCAAACAAGCTCATTTTATTAAAGCAATTGTGGGAGATATTACATGTTTTCTTAGTACAAAGTTGTAAGGTTGCAAATTCCATGACATGGTGTTATTAAGAATGAGTCTTTGTTAGAACAAAAAGCCGAAGAGGACCACAATATCAACTGATGAAACATCAAGTCAAAAATGGTTAAAGTATGTGAACAAGCATCATTAGAAAAGTGGAGATCATAATTTCACGCGTTAGAAACAATCAGCTGAGTGATTTAGACGAAGTCATCACAAATTTACTCATTTGGAAACTTGTTTTGACCTCAAAAGTATAAGTTAGGAAGTGCTTTAGATATTTGTTTCTACAAAACAGTGCATTTAGCACAGTACTTGCTTTTGAGCACTGCTACTCGAGGTCATGCTCAGATGCAAGCATCGGGACTTGCCTCGGTATAAAGTTGAGCATGTGAACTAAAAAATCCGAGCACTGATACCCAACATCCAAGAGAGTTGAGCAACTATACTCAAATTCAAGCACCAGTACACTAGATGGAAATTTGTGAAAATTAAAATTTCAAAATGTAACAACCCACTCCACCACATGGTCTGATATTGTCCACTTTGGGCATGAGCCCACACAATTTTGTTCTTGGGTTTTACCCCAAAAGGCCTCATACCCTAAGTCATACAATCCTTCTGAAGAGGTGCCACTATCACGCTCCGCGCACGAATTCAATTTTGTCAATTTACGAATTCAATTTTGTGAATCCTCAAATTCATAATGGTTTCACATTTGAACAATACCTCTTTAAGAACTTATAATAAATATATAGATTTCTCATGTCGTGTTTTTTTAGAAATAAAAAAATATACAATAATTTTTGTATTTTAAGTATTACTAATATTACGAATAAGATTAATATAATTCAAACACAATTTCTCGTGTTAGTGAAATTACATTTTTATTATTCCATAAAGTATATAATGGTAAAGCATGTGTACAAATATTGAAAACATATTTTACATACACACATATATTTAGTATCACACAAGTGTACAAGTGCTCTGGAGGCTCTCCCGCTCTAACCAAATTTTAGATTTTGCCGCTTTCGGGCTCTCGCTCTCAAATTTGCTCCCGCTCCCGCTCAATGTGACTTGGCTCATACCATTTGGAGATCGCTAGCACATATAAGCACTTCACCTTCATCTTAACCAGGCGATGTGGGATTGTGCAACTATAGCTCGCCCAGTCTCTCTCACCCGTCCAAGCCACAAAAAAAATTACCCAAAAAAAACAAAAATTCCTAAATGTTTTATAATTATCTAAAAGTTTCCAGTCATGTTTTAACGTGTTTTTTTTACCTGGATTAGGGTCTTACACAAGCATATAAGGACTGTTATTGAATTTTAAATATATGACATATGAGAACAGCATGAGAAGAGAAAAGAAAGAGGAAAATTTGTTGGGCACTTCTAACTCATCTTGATTTCAACAATTAATTTGATTTTTAATCACAAATATCTGATAAGCCGGAAACAGCCTGGAGTTCACAGATTCGAAACTGGAAACAGCTTGGAGTTCAAGGGTTAGAAACCGAAAACAGCCTCCCCATGAGAATATCTTTGTTTTCATTGTTTTGTGAATGGATGGTCGAAAATAATAAATAATGAATATAAAATAAGTTCAATTTACAATCAGCTGCGCAAGTCTCACTCAGGATTGAATTCCTGGGCTAAAAAATATTTAAATTCCTCCTCTAGGCTCTAGTGATTGAGTAATTCAATTTACATATGGACAGCGCAACTGTCACTTGTTATAATAGTATTATAGCCCCCCTTTTTTATAAGTATAATAGTAATATAGCCCTGGGCTACAGCAAATTCAATTTGTGATAGAAAATCATTTTATTTCATGCTACACAAGAAAACTCATAATCCTTTTAACCCTTACTATTTACCCATCTGTTCAAAACATAATATTACTACAGAACCATATTATAGTAGTTCAGGCCTAATGCTGAAACTCTTAATGTAAAATTTGGACCATATAGATTTGATTCATGAAGGGTCACCCCATAAAACCAAAGATACTGTTATCATAAGAGCTCAACTGCCAAAAATTGTAATTTTATCTTAAACTACAGGGGTTGAATCCATAGAAACAGAGAAGCTTTGAAAGAAAAGAGAAAAAGCATTTTTAAGGCACAACTCCATCCTACAGCACACTAACAATAGCTGCCACATATGCATGATCAACTCTTAATGGACTCAAGTATCATGATGGCACATCAAGAAGTATCACTCCGCAAATCATCCTTAACATGCAATAACTAATATGAATACAAATGTTGAAAGATATAAAAGTTGAAGGCAGAAATTAAAACATGAAGAACACACAGATATAACATGGTTCAGCCACTAGGGCTTACATCCACGACACACAAAGCCGAAAGGGCTACATCTCTTTCTTTTCTTTTTTTTGATAAGTAAAAATATATTAACAAAGGCGCTCAGAGGGGAGCGAACCCTTAACAAAGCAAACACAATACGCAAAATGCGCCATTACAACGATAAGTTGTCAACAAAATCCAAAAAGCTATCCATAGATGGGCAATTTTTCCCATTAACCCAAGAACAAAGAGAATGCAAAATATTCGCCTTCATAACCTACACCAGCGACTCCTTTCCCTCGAAAGATCTCTTGTTCCGCTCGTGCCACAACCCCCACCAAATACAAAGAGGTGCAACCCTCCAAGACTTCCTAACCCGACTGCCCATTGGTCTCCCTCTCCAAGCCTCTAACATATCCATCGTGTTACCTGACGCCACCCAGTCTACCCCAAAAACATTCAGGACCAAACTCCAAACATCCGCTGTCACTTTACAGTGCAGCAAGAGATGATTAACCAATCCGCCTGCCTTCTTACACATGCAACACCAATTAACTGTTATTTGGCGTCTTTTTTTGAGATTGTCAAGAGTAAGAATGCTGCCAAGCACCGCTGTCCACGTGAAAAAAGCCACCTTCAGTGGAGCTGAAGTCCTCCAGCCTTCCAAGGGAAACCGTTGCTTATCGAATTCGTAAGACTTTCGTAAAAAAGCCTCACCTTAAACACCCTTTTAGAATCCCCTATCCACACCATCTCATCCCTTCCTTCGCCCTCCACCACTTGACTATAAATTAATCCCATTAAATCGGTAAACTCTAGCAACTCCCAATCATTAAAATTTCTGCAAAATCTCACATCCCAACAAGCTCTCCCATTATCTAGCCTAAAATAATCTGCCACCACCACATGCTTCTCCTCAACCATCCTAAAGAGTCTAGGAAACCTACAAGCCAACACCACATCCCCACACCAAACATCCGTCCAAAACGTCACATAACGACCATTCCTAACTCTAAACCGCATCCACTTAGAGAATTCGTCCCAACCCCTCCAAATACCTTTGCATGAACCCAAACCTGCTGATGAAGACACACCTCTAGACATCCACCCTCCTTCCTCTTCCCCAAACCAACAAGCAATAACACGCCTCCAAACCACGGACCTTTCACACCCAAATCTCCATAGCCATTTGCCTAACAAAGCTTTGTTAAACATTTCTAACCTGCGAAGCCCCAAGCCTCCTCTTTGAATCGGGGTGCACACTTTCTCTCATTTCACAAGATGGTACTTAAACTATGAAGTCTACTAATCACTGTTCTAGGAATTGGAAACAAAGACATAAAATATGTAGGAAGATTTTTTTTTTGATAAGTAATAATAAATTAAAAAAAGGCGTTCAATAGGCGTTCAATATGTAGGAAGATTAGAGAGGGTACTCTTCAACAATGTAAGTTTACCCCCTTTCGACAAGTATTGCTTCTTCCACCCAAATAACCTCTTTTGAAAATGTTCCACCACTCGATCCCAAACGGCAACTCTCCTCGTGGAGGCACCCAATGGCAGCCCCAAATAAGAAAGCGGAAAAGCCTCCACTCCGCAACCCAAAATAGCTGCCAACTCATGAATATAACCCACCTCCCCTACTGGAACAATCACACTCTTCCCAATATTAATCTTCAACCCCGAAACCACTTGAAAGCAGGCCAAAACACACCTCAAGTTTCTCACTTGATTCACACTCACATCGTAAAAACAATAGTGTCGTCAGCAAACAGCAAGTGAGATGTAACAATCTGATTTGGCACATGCCCCACCAAAAAACCTTGAATAAAGCCCAGTACCTCTGCCCTTTTCATGAGTCTACTAAAGGCTTCCATTACAATAATGAATAGAAAAGGGGACAATGGGTCCCCCTGACGTAAACCTCTCAAACTTGCGAAGAAACCTGCTGGTGACCCGTTCACTAAGATAGAAAAACGAGCCGTCGAAATACATTGATGAATTCACCCTCTCCATTTGGTTCCAAACCCCATCCTCTCCAACACATACAATAAGAACACCCAATTCACATGGTCATATGCTTTTTCAATATCCAATTTACACACAATCCCCGGTTCACCACTCTTGACTCTTGCAACAATACATTCACTAGCAATAAGAACCGGATCGAGAATTTGCCTTCCTCCAACAAACGCATTTTAAGACTCCGAGATGACCCCATCCAACACTTTACTTAACCTAATTGCCAGAATCTTTGCAACAATCTTATAAACAGAGCCCACCAAACTAATTGGCCTGAAATCCTTAGCTTCAACCGCTCCACCCTTCTTAGGTATAAGAGTAATGAAAGTGGCATTCAAACTCTTCTCAAAACAACCTTCCTCAAAAAAGGCATGCATTACTCTCATCACATCTGCTCTCACCACCTCACAATTCTTTTGGAAGAACGCAATTGTAAACCCATCCGACCCCGAAGCTTTATCTCCATCATAGCTCATAAGAGCTTCCAGTACTTCCTCCTCCCCCAAATGGACTTTCCAAACCAACTCTATCCTAATCAGAAATTGTATCAAACTCAATATCATCCAACCCCGGCCTCCAAGAAACAGACTCTATGAACAGTTCCTGATAAAATGCCACAAAACCTGTCCGGATCTCCTCTTCAGTTTCAGCCATGACACCATCAAAACTTATCCTCCCAATGTTGTTCCCTCTTCTATGAACGTTAGCTAATCGGTGAAAAAAATGAGTATTTTGGTCACCTTCTTTAAGCCACAGGGCTCTCGACTTCTGTCTCCACGAAACTTCCTCCATCACTGCAATCTCTTCAAACTCAACCTTGCACTCCTCCCTTCTACTCCTCTCCAACACTGAAATCCCCTCAGTACCTTCCTTCCTAGCCAATAACCACCTCTATTTATAGGTGAATTGGGGAAGACTTGTAGCTAGAGAATAGAAATTTTTTGCTCTACAAGTAATTTATAATAAAGGAATTATACAGAGTCAAATACAAATATGGCAACAACTTGTTACCCAAGTATAGCAAGTTAACATTCTGTCGACGAGTGATTTAAGGGCTTAAATCACTCCTAAAATTATTCTCCAACACCCCCCCTCAAGTTGGTACACGGAGATTTAACTCAAGTGTCCAACTCGAAACTAAATATGAAGTTGTCAAGAGTCTGGGACGAGTCGGGGACGAGTTAATCTGAGATGAGTTGATCCGGAGATACGAGACGAGTTGATCCGGAGATCCGGAGATACGAGACGAGTTGATCCGGAGATCCGAAGATACGAGACAATTTGAATATAGAGTGGGGTATGACAAACCTGTTCTGATACCATGCTGAAAGATGTAAAAGTTGAAGAGAGAAATTAAAATCTGAAGAACACAGAGATATAACGTGGTTTAGCCCATATAAGCCACGACACACAAAGCTGAAAGGGCTACATCTCTTTCATTACATTCTCTCTTAATTTTGTTTACAATAACCACCTCTATTTATAGGTGAATTGGGGAAAACTTGTATCTAGAGAATAGAAATTTCTTGTTCTACAAGTATTTTATAATAAAGGAATTATACAGAAAGTCAAATACAAATATGGCAACAACTTGTTGCCCAAGTATAGCAAGTTAACATTCTATCAAGGAGTCATTTAAGGGCTTAAACCACTCCTATAATTATTCTCCAACAACAAATATTAAGAAAAAAATTGTATAAGAGCTCAAAGTAGTGCCTTCTTAGTAGTTAGTCCTTTTTCTTCTTTTAGAAATATAAACATACTAAGAACCAAGAAGAAACACAAATCAAGTGGGTTAAAGCACACGAAGAAAAAATAAAGAAACTGAGAACAACCCAAGAAGCCAACAAACAAAGAACTAAATAAAGAAGCCCAAGGACTAATGCACAGAAACCAAAAATTGTAATATTACATCCTCATACAAAATAAAATATATAATAAAAATAAATAAATAAATAAATAATAATATCTTGCAAAAAATATGCCTACCTCTCTGATCATCTGATATTGTTTGCCAATGTCATCTGTAAAAGGATAACGATTAGCTCTGAAAGCATCACATATTTTCAGAATTTTGTTCTTCGCTCTTTCTCCAGAATAGAAGATGACAAATACGTTTTTCTCAACCTGTAAGTTAGAAGCTATGAGTTAAAGCATGAACAATCTCTAAGTTAATACACATGAATCATATAACAAATCAAGCAAGAAGGAAGGAAGTATAATGATTTCTATACGTAGAAGTGGAAGAAAAGATTCCACCACTCACAAATGTTTTACAATTAAAAAAATAAAAACCTAGTGACAATCCAATAAAAGAAAAAGATAGGGTGTGTGCAAAGAAACACAATAAAAAATAAAATAAATAAATAAAATCTAGTATTAACCTTCTCTCCTAACATTGGATCAACAACAGAATCTTCAACCACAGCTTGCTTCAAGAACACGTTACCCCTGGTTGCACGAAAGAGAATCCTTTCAAAAGCCATAGATTTTTCTCTTGGCACAAGTCCACTAACAAATCCCAGCTTAACTTGCTTCGACATATCTGTTGACATTTCCTACAAAATAGGAAAACCCAAAGTATCATCCGAGGAAGTACCTAAAGATTTACAAACAATACTAGAAAAAAGAAATTGCAAATCTATAGACTAGTACTTGTTCAAATAATAGAGGACTGTCAATGGAACCTTCACCAAGGGGATATGTTTCATATTCTCTTTGCTGAGCTGTTGCATTGCTTTGAGCTGAATGAAAAAATTCGCCAGCCTGAAATGAGGAAAACAGCACCCATTTCACATACAATAAATTGATGAAGAGTGCAAGACTAAACAAAAAGAAATGCCAATTGAAAAAGGAAATGAACAAAAACTAGCTCCTCAAAGGCTATAGCAGCCAAAGACCATACCTTCTGTAGGACAAGCTTATACTCTAAAAGTTCATTGTAAGCGTGTTGCAACTTTCCACTGTTCGCATTCATTTCTATCAACTCAGCTTCAAGTTCACCAAGTTTTACCTACACATATCCGCAGTAGAATTATTGAAACAGGACATGTGAAAAGATTTAAAGCAAAGTTACCACAACATACCTCCAGGTCATCAAAATTGATATCACTGCCAGTTGGAGACCTTGTTGGGGATGAGAAACCTGACTTCACCATTTGATCTTTAAAAAAACGTAATCTGCGTGCCATCTCCCCACATCTTTTGATCTATGCAAAGATATTACAAATGCATACATCAAATATAAGATTCATATGAGTTCAATAAATGAAGAAGTATTTCTGGACATAACTTAAGTCATCTAGAAGATAGTGCCAACTATTCTAGGTTGTCAAAACATAACAAGGTGATGATAAAACATAGGGCTTTTAGTGGAGAGCTTGATATATTATACTGATAGAGGAAGATGAATGATTTTCCATAGTTTTTCGACTTCTATTGTACCAGATTCATACATTATTGACCCTCACATTACAACTCAGAATCTTCCCTCCACCTCACACTAGATAAATGGAATTGAAGGACACGCAAAAGGAAGCATCAACGTTTAAGTGAAGTGGTATCTCATCATCCTCCCAAGTAGGAGGCTGAGGGTTCAAATTCCCATGAAGACATGGTGGGTGTGTATGTCCTATTGGGTGTGTATTTCTACCTACCAAAAACAAGAAGAAAAAATTATATATTTAGAGCATGCACAGGAATGTAAAGAATGACAGAAATAAAGGTGTCCATGGGACCTTGGGTAATAATGAACCCTAATCTTCTAGTAAAATCAGAATTTTACCTGAGGAACTCAGGAGGCCCCATATTTTGCATTTTGTATAAGTTATAATTATGGCCGAAATAATTTTCAATCTAGTCAATATATAGTTGGGCAGTCAAAGTGGTAATCTTGAGTCTTGACAAAAGTTTGAGTAGGTTCTAGACTAAGGAATTCCGCCATTCACTTGGAAAGATATTTGGCACTTAAAGTGAATTCCTAAAGCTAGAGAGAGCTTTTAACACTACTTCTCTTTTTCTTATGACAGCATAGAAGTCCTAAAGTTTTTCAAGTCAAAACATTTTTGGTAAGATTTGATGCATAAGTTGGGAACTATTTGCAACTAGAAATATTTTAATCCTCTCCTCCATAATAGGCATCAATAATATGTTTTGTCTAACAGGTACGAACATAACTCCTTTTGGTAGAGATGAATGAAGCCTTACATTCACCGCCATTGTTTTCCCTAAGAATAATGGGCTGGCTAAACATTCTCGTGATTGGTCAAGGCATGTGGCTGACTTGGTTAAAACACTCTCTCGTAGAGCCAAGCAAACAGACAGGATTTTGAGGTAGGCCTATATATGCCTATTCTGCAATTGACTTTTCGTAATGTTCTGGTTTCATCATATTAGTTCAAGAATTCTGATAAAATTGCTACGATCCACTTATCCAAATAAAAAATTTGGCACGATCCATTGCAATACACCATAAACCTAGTCTCTAGGATGCTTATACAAGCTGTTTATAATTAATCCATTATAAATGAGCCACATGTTAATTCGAGTTGCTTGCACAACATTTTCTCCTGAGTATAATCCATAAGAAAAGGAATTGCATCTATTATTCTGCTAAATTTCCAACAGAGAATAGAATGCAGCTCTAAAAGAACCCTTTCATGGTATCAAACATAAGGGACTCATAATGAGGACATTCAAAGACACATAAAAATTTGGCACAATTTTTGCTTCATTGATTTGAAGATTCATAAAATTTGTTTTAAACATTTTAAGTACTGATATAGGCGAGATATGTTTCATTAGTTCTGTATTAGAAGTATTTCGGCACTTATTGAATGTAGAGCGCATGGTAATCTGATATAGGACAGAATTCTGGACAGTTCAACAAATCCCTTTTCGACCCGAAAGGAGTGTTTTTTTGGGTGTAAACGACCCATTGAGAAAAACTAACTAGCTTTAGCTTGTGTGCCATGTAGGTTTTTGGCCAAAAACCTTCGTTTAGGACTTCGAAATCGCATTTTCTTGTCTTATAGGAGGCATGATGATTATTCTGATATTTTTGTTCAAGGCCTAAACAAAGTCGGATTCATCTCAAATTTTATATTCATAGTTCTTAGTGATTAGGTTTCTTATTATATTTTTTCAGAATTTTTAGAGAGAATTTATTTTTGGGATTATTTTTTTTAGATGTTTTTTTAGTTTCCTTTGTTAATAAGTTTCCTTACAGCATTAGGATTTCTTTGTTATAAATATGCATGCACTGCAAAAGCAGAATTTAAACTTTGATTAATAATATTTCAAATTGCTTTGCAATTTTTCTTCTACTTTGTGGATTCAAAGCTATCCTACTTTGTAGATTCAAAGTAACCCTTGTTCTTTGCGAACAATTCACAGCTTTCCACTACGTTAATATGTATCAGAGCCTTGATTTACCCTAGTCTGATAATGATTGATCGTTTTGGTAGCAACCAGTCTAACAACGATGATCGTAGAGTGAAGGCCACTTTGGCAGCAATGCATTCTCAAGAATGATTCATATCTTCTGCTATGTTAAAATCAAAATCGCAATACAAATTGTAGGGTCTTGTGCATGGTTATCAAAAGTGCAATCCAAATCATAAAATCATGTACATGGTTATTGTTGAAGGATTTTATATTAAAGTTACACCCTCTCTAATAGCTTAATCTTTTAGAGTGGATGGTTGTTAACTTAGTATCAGAGCCAAAGGTCTCAAATTTCAAACCTCACCGTCACTCTAATTAAAATTTTAAAAACACGTGTTGGACCAAAAAGAAGTCCACACATGAGAGGGCATGTTAAAGAATTTATATATTTAAGTTACACCCTTGCTTAAGCTTTTAAAGTAAATGGATGTTAACAGTTATCAAAATTGCAATCTAGATCGTAGGATTGTGCACACAGTTATTGAAATCGTGACCTAGATCATAGGATTGTGTGCATGTTTATGAAAATCGTGATATGGGTCATTGGATCACATAATCCTACGATGCAAACTTATCAAATCAATCCAGAAGTGTATGAAAAATCGTTGAGAGGAGGGTTCACAGTAAGATCGCCACAGAATCGTACAAGATCATCGGATCATGCCATAGAATCCTAGGATTGTGTCAAGAATCGTTCAGGATCATTTAGGTATACAATAAATCTAATAATTAGTTTCTTTTTAATGCTAACTAAAGATTATTTCTAAATTGGATTTATTGTAAACATTTTATCAAAAATATTGGTTGTTATGGCATCTGTAATTGATATTTAGTTGTCTATGTTGCAAAATTTTCTTGGTTTGTTTCTTTACTTGTAATCTTGGTATTATAAGAGCATACGTTTTATAGTGAAAAATGAGAATAGAAGAATCTAAACCTTCATCTCCACTTATGGTTCGAGAGAAGGCTTGAAGGGTGGAGAAGCAGTATCTTTCTAAGGGTGGGAGGGTGCCCTGATGAAAAGCACACTATCGAGTCTTCCTACCTACTTCCTATCTCTCATTCAGATTCCTTCTTTGGTGGTTAAGAGGTTAGAGAGGCTTTAGCATAAATTCCTTTGGGGCAGTTTAGGGGAGGAATTAAGTACCACCTCATTTCCTGGGACCAAGTTTCCAGGCTTATTCAGTCACATGGCCTGGGTATTCGGGTGTGATGTGAGCGGGTGCGAGACACTAGGCAAGCTACGACACTGGCGAGCTACAGGTTGCACAATCCCACGTCGCCTAAGTAAGGTGAAGGTGAAGTCCTTATATGTACTAGTTCCATCTCAAATGGTACGAGGCCTTTTAGGGTAAAATCAAAGAACAAAACCGAGAGGGCTCGGGACCAAAGCGAACAATATCATACCATGTGGTGGAATGGGTAGTTAAAAATAGTATCAAAGCTTGAGCCCTGCCGAAATAGTGGCCATCAAGGACGTTGGGCCCCTTAGGGGGTGATTGTGGTAACTTATGTGAGCATATGTGAGACAATGGACGAGCAACCACACTGGGCAAGCTACAGGTTGCACAATCCCCCATCACCCGAGAAAGGTGAAGGCGAAGTGCTTATATGTACTAGTTCCACCTCCAAATGGTATGAGGCCATTTGGGTAAAACCTAAGAACAAAAGTGTAAGGGCTCAGGTCCAAAGCAGACAATATCATACCATGTGGTGAAGTGGGTTGTAACAAAATTTGGTGAAGGGAGGGGTGGTTGGTGCTTTCTCGAGGTGAGGATTCTTAGAGGTGTTGGTGTTTGGAAGTTCATCTGGAAAAGGTGAGACAAATTATCCAAATATATCAAATTCAGAGTGAGGAATGGTAGGGGCATTCGCCTTTGGGAGGACAGCTGGTGTGGTGACCATTCGCTAGCATGTACCTTAGCCTCTTCCGGATTGTTATGGATAGGTATTGCTTAGGTGGCTGACTATTATCGGCTTGAAAGCAGGAGGACGACCTAGGATGTGTGCTTTTCGAGGCATTTTTAGGATTGGAAGCTGGAGGATGCCACTAAGTTTTTTGGACTGTATCACTAGGAGGTGGATGATGATGTAGCTAACTCTCGAGTGTGGGTGCTCTCTCCTTAGGGGAAGTTTGATGTGCTCTCTTTCTATAGAGCCCTTTTGGGTGCCCTGAGGCATGCTTTCCGTGGAAAGCAGTTTAGCACACAAAGGCCCCCCTCAAGGTGGCTTTTATTTGCTTGGACAATAGTTCTAAGAAGGATTCTAACTCTGGATAATCTGAGGAGGAGATAGATTATTGTCAATTAATGTTGCATGTGTAATAAAGATGAAGAGTTTGCTACATTGCCCTATGGCTAGGGATAGTTGGAGCTGTCTTTTGGCATTATTCGGAGTCCAGTGGGTAATTCCCCGGTCATCGATAGATATGATTGAGGCTTAGAGGGGGTGTATAGTGGGTTCCCAAGCCCATGACTTTTGGAGGATGGTGCCCTTGTGTGTTTGGTGGTGTTTACGGAAGGAACGGAATAGGAGATCCTTTAATGGGTAGGAGACTTTTATTAGGAAGCTGAAATATTCTATCATTAGTTGTATTTTTTTTTTGTGTTTCAGGGAGAAATTGTAAATCCATGGGGGAGGGTTGATTTTATGGACATATTGAGAGATTGAGGGCCCTATTTGGTCCTTGTTTGTCTTTATAAACTACGTTCCCCGTTTGAACACTTTCTAATACAACCTTACTTATCAAAAAACTAATAATAATAAAAATGGAGCTTTGCATGAAACAGCACTCAGAAAAACGCTAGACAGAACCTGGGCAAATCTAGAGTTCAAGATGATTCTACATTATTTATGTACATAAATCTATATATTATAAATCAAAAGGTATTGTTTATACAACATATTAAGGAAATTTTATCCATTTGAAGAATATAAACCCCAAAAGAAACAAGAAATTTCATCAGAGGAGTAGGATAGTAATATAATATACTAATTTATTAGCATCATCACCATGTTTGTCCTGGTTTCCTCAACTTGCCTCCCCATCATATATAAGCAGCTTTGAATTTGTGTCCATATTAAAACCACTCACACTTGGTTCCGAATATAGTAAATAAGCTTAAAAGATTTCATTTATTTCTACTCTATTCCAAAAATATATAAAAACTAACAAGATACTGAAAACAGGCATTTCTTATATAAAACACGAACGACAAATCAATCAACGGAAATCTCATCTCCTTGCAAAAAAGAATTCATGAAACGTCAACACACACTTTACAACAAATCAGACCTTTATTTAAGGATACAAGCATAAAACTATATAAAAATACATCTATGCAATAATTTACCATAGCCATATAACAATAAGGACTGAACATATACATACCTGAGCAGCATATGTCCGCTGGAATGGACTCTTTTCAGCATTGAGCTGGGAGGGGGAAAAAAAAAAAAGACACACCAAAGGAATTACAAAAAGGTACCAAACATGTCAAATCTGGAAACTATAAAATATTCTTATCATGTCACAGTAGTCACTTTAGACGTGATTTCAAAACATGTTATTCAATCATCATGTTAAACCAAAATCGTTTCAACCATAACTAGCGCAATCGAGTAAAGTTCATTAACCTTTTATTGTTGCTAGAAAGCAAATGATAATAACAAATCGAAGATGTATGTAATACTGCCCAAAACAGAAATTGTAAATAACATACTTTTGTCATAAAAAAACTAAAGAATAACTGATGCAAGAGGAAAAGAAAGCTGTGAATCTGCAGAGATACCATATACGCTATGGTGTCAGATGAACTAGCTCAAATTTAGCGCAACAAATGGATCAAGATGGTGTAAAATTCATGAACTCTAACTGGAAGTCATTCATGCCAATCAACAATCCCAACTCGCAACTCAATATTTTGCTAATCTCCGTCTACCCAAACCATTTATACCCATTAGTCCTTATTAAAACTGCAGTATTTTTCAACAGAGTTGCTCAGTCAGTAGGACACATCAATCTTTCAACATGTCATTTTTGTTATAAAAATCTATACACAATGTATAGGCATACATACTTGAATATAATTATTACAATACTCTTCATGAGAGCCTATCAATCAAACTTGAACAAAGGTAAAAGACAACATGTGGAGAGCAAAACAAATACTACAAACAACAATGAAAAATCCATCTGAGAATCAAACGAGATACAAAACTAAGGCAAGATCAATCAAAACCTCTAATCAATCAAGCAAGAAATAAATAAATAAACAATCGATGATTTATGAAACATTTGAATGCAATGCCATAAAAGTACGCTTCAAAAAAAAAAAAAACAACATAGATCAATGCATATATCCATGTGTATATTAGGCGTATAACTTACGTCTTTGAATTGGAAAAGGCCAAGGTCTCCAAGGTACGAAATGGTTCGATGAGCAGATTCAATAGGGATGATTAACTGCACCAACTGCATTGGTTCCGATCGCAACAGATCCATCGTGGGACAACACCCTCCGTCACCCATTTTATTATATATATATATATATATATATATATATATATATATATATATATTATAGTAGATAACAATGTAAGCCTAAGAGTTTAAGACCCTTTCTTTTAGCTCCGGACCGGCGAGTCGCCGGCGACAATTGATCGGAGGGATTCACTGACCTTCAATTTTCAAGTTTTCGGACAACGGGTGAATTTTTATTCTCTTTTCAGCCCTTCAACTTTTGTGCATTTGACAATGGTTTTATAACTAATCAGAAATAATAGACGACGCCGTTTTATTTCCGCGTTAAATTCGCTATCATTCAACATGTGACCCAAACAAATGCTCTAATAAACCTGCACTAAAGCCCAACTGAAGGACACTTTTAGGCTGAAGCCCAATTTTAGTAGGAAAATGAGTGGAAATTCATTAACCAAGGTCGACCCAGCCCAATTCATTCTTGTTGTTTTCTCTTTTTTTATTATATTATTATTATTTTTTTTTTTTTTTTTGGGTCCACACCATTCACCCTCAATATTTTATTTTAAAAAATAGAGGAGATTATTAAATTTCTTTGGCATACTTCGTCTGGGCTTTTTAAATTTTTTGCCTCTGTAATTATAACGAGGGCTTGAACATTCAAATTTTTTAGTTTGAACGGTAGAGAATGATACTACATGGACTAAAGCAAGCTTTTATAGTTTACATCACCCTCTCTTCTCAAAATTTATTATAATACTTCATGTGGCCAGTTGCTTAAGACCCAGCCAATTGGAAGGCCTCAAATTTGTTTATTTTTTTATATTATACCCTTTCTAAAAAATTTATTTTCTTCCTATTATTATCATACTCTAGCCAAATATAAAGGTTCCAAAATTTTTATTTCCTTGTATTATAAATTTTAAATTTTTTTTTAATTTGTTTATATTATAACCTTTCTAAAATTTTTATTTCCTTCTTGCCCAATAAAAAGGGCTCAAAATTTTTTATTTCCTTATTAACCTCCTTAAAAATTTTATTTGTATATATTATTAGATACTACTGACCTCACGTGTTTTTTTTTTTTTTTTTTTTTCTTCTGAATTTGTAAAACTTTCCATATTCTTCTTTTTTAACTTCTTTTTTTTTCTTCTTATTTCTTACAAAATTTTTCCTCCTTTTTCATTAAGTATAAATTGTATAACTTTAAGATGAATTATATGACAAGAAAAATTAATTAAATTGACTATATATTAAATATTAAAAGATTACTTTTATGTTAATGAGTTAAGCCTAATGATATAGTTCACAAGAGACTGTAAGATTTAAATTTGTGACAAATAATAGTTTAATTAAGGTGCAACGGAAATGGGATTGGACGAACTTGGGGGTCGGTCATTCAAACCCAACCCAAGATATAAAACCTTCAACTAAAAGCGAAACGGAACTCCCCAAACCAAGTCCAAATTGCATTCAAATCTTTGAACTTGGTTTGTGTTCAGATTGAAAAATCGGATGGCCGGGTACACATATAGGCTTTGCACATAGGATTTGATTACCCATTAAAATTTTGTAGCAGCAATGATTATATATCCGTGCAAAAGGATGTGTGACCAACTAGCAAGGGATATAGATATATATAATCACAAGAATTTAGCAACCATATATATATATATATATATATATATATATAATTAAGCATGCACACTGCAGAAACAAAGCAAAGCATTGTGAGGACAGAGTTAGCTGGTGGGCTTGGACCACGTCTTGCAGCTTAATAACAAAGTCAAGAATGAGCAGATCGATCCACAGTAGATTCCCACGCGCCTAGGCCTGCCTCAGCCTAGGCTACCATATATGTTGTACATTCCAAACCCTATTTTGTATAGATGCTACCTTCTTCTGATATATACGTGCATTACATTTGTAGTCATGCAGTACAATCATGTTTGTACCTAGTTGCATACCCTCCTCAATCGGGCATTTGCCCAGTCTCTGTTCCATATTTATTAAGAGCAATGATATGCAATACGAAAGAGAAAGCGCAAAAACTTTTCGAATTTGATTTGGCTAAGTCATGTCGACATTAAAAAGGAAGAAGTCCCTCTTACATGATATATATATATATATATATATATAATTAAAAATTAAAAAAAAAAAATGGTGCTATGAATTTTTACTCCATAAATTTAAATTTATGGGACACGGGAACAAGCATAGATGCTACCTTCCTCTGATATATAGTTATATACCTGCATTAGCTTTGTAGTCATGCAATACAATAATGTGTTGTCCCTAGTTGCATACCCTCCTCAATCGGGCATTTATCCATTATGTGTTCCATATTTATTAAGAGTAATGATAGTCAATGCGAAAAAAAAAAAAAAAAAGGTGCCGAAATTTTTTGAATTTGATTTGGCTAAGTTACATCCACATTAATAAAGAAAGAGTCCCCTCTTACATGATATAAATGTAAGAAAAAAAGAATCTGTGCTATGAATTTTTACTTTGTAAATTTAAAGAATCTGTGCTATATAATAATTAAATTTATTTAATTATTATATAAGGTAAAGTGCAATAAACCCCCCTGAACTTTACTCTCTCTCCCAAGAAAACCCCCTAAACTTTTTTTTTTAACAAAAAAACCCCCTAAACTATCTCAAGTTTTGTAAAAAAAACACAGATTACACTGTTCCGTTAGCTTTTGGTTGAAAAATAATCATTTGCCTTGTACTGTAAATTTAAAATATCAATCCTAGCCTTATATATATATATATATATATATATATATATATATATATACTTTCCAGTTACGCGCGCACGCGCACATACACACACACATATGTATAACTTTTCCACCTTTCATGGAGATCGAGAACGGAACAACCATGACACCACCACCAAAACCCATAAAGTCACCGCTGACTTTGCTTAAGTTCGTCACCGGCAACAAAATTGGTAAGCGCTTCAAACTCGCCAAGCGTGACACCACCTTCACGACGGAGCTCTAAGCTAGCATCGCCATGTTTTTCACCATGGCATACATCATGGCCGTCATTATTAAAATATGAGACCCACATCTACCCAGATCATGTCTCTGTATCATTGAGGTGAGAATTTGGTTGATTTGTATAAATCATTGATGCAAAATATTATAGACAAAATAAAACCCCCCGAATTGGCCCCCATTAACCCTAACTCCCACTCTCTCTCTATGCTCTGCAAAATCGTCATCTTCAACAGAACAAACCCATCTTCAATCATTCACAAACCCAATATACGGTCTTTAAGGCAATTTTCTACAGTGAGAAAATGAAATGGTCATATTTCTCTGTTTCACAAACCAAATCAAAGCTTTTGTTGAATTTGTGTTATCAAGGTGAAGAAAAGTGTCGACTACGACACTCTTTGGTATGTTGTCAAGGCTCGATCTTTGGTATCGGTTGAGGCTTGATCAGTGTTTCATTTTTCGTTTTCCTTATAATCAATTCAGTGTGAGTCAATTTTGTACCAAGTGACTGGACTAGTTGGTGTTTGGCGCTAAATTGTGTGCTTGTTGTAAAGTTTTGTTTGGGGCAAAAATGATGAAGTGGTAGGTGAAGTCGGTGATTGGTGTTGTGTTGTCATAATATTATTGGTTGTTGAGATTGAACTTGACAAGTCAGCAAGAACATTTGTCAAACTACCCTTTTTAAAAAAGGGCAATTTTATAATCTCACATCTCCGGTTAGCTCAGCTGTCGGTAAAATTAATTTTTGTCCTTAGATTATAATTTTTAAATAGTTCAGGGGGCATTACTTAGTTCAGGGGGGTTTTGTGTTTTTTGCTGAAAGTTCAGGGGGGTTTATTGCCCTTTACCCTATTATATATTACAAAAATACTTGCATGTTCAAATTCATAATGAGGCTTGCATTGCACATGTATGAGTTGCACGACAATTTAATTTTGATGCAATAGGTGACAAAAAAATTATTACTTACTATAGTTTTGTTAACACATAATGTAATAAATTGAATATAAAAGAAAATATTCTTACATGTCTTTAGAATAACCAGTATAGCCATCGTACCGGTTGGCTATACACAAATTTTTGCCTTGTTGATGTGGCTGGCTGCAATATTTGACTATTCCATGTGTATAGTATAATAATAACAATTATGAGATCCAACACTCTAGAAGAGAGAGAATAAAATAAAAGAGATATAATGAAAAATAAAATAAAATAGGACCCACACTTTTGCAAAAAAAGAGATGACTCTTTCTTTTTTTTAATTCTGACATAGCTTAGCCAAATCAGATTCGGCAAGTTTTTGCGTTTTCTCTTTCGTGTTGCCTATCATTACTCATTTGGTAAACTTATAAATTATTAATATTATATTAGTCGGCTTTTAAAAAGTGTATATATTCCATCAATTATGTACACTTATGTGTTGCAAACGGGAGCATTAAAAATATAAACTTTGAATGAGATTTGGAATAGATTCCGCTAAGAATTGTTTGCAGATCTATAGACAAGCGCATTCCTCTCTATTTGGAATAAATTCCGCTAAGAATTGTTTGCGAATCTATAGACGAGCGCATTCCTCTCTACAAGGAGATGAACGTGGTATATTTACTTTCTCAAATCCGTTGTATCCTAGGAGATAGATGTCACTGAGTCCGTTAGTACCATAGCGGGGCGAATCTGTCTTAAGGATATAGAATCAAATTCTAGCCTCGACTTTTAATTAGGTTCTTTTGTTTTATAGTTTTTATTTTATTATATTAAACTATATATTATAAATTATATATATATTATATTATTTTATAATAATAATTATATATATATATATATATAAACATTATATTTTTACATAATATTTAAATAAATAAAACTATAGTATATGGTATAGTTAAACCATATTTTGGACAACAATCTTAAGACAGATCCTACTTATACTATAGTTTAATTATTTAAATATTGTTGTTATTATTTTATTTCTGTAAATTTAACTGTGGTTTGTATATTTAATATTTAAATCAGATAAATGGCAAGTACAAGTACTACTATGCCCAATGATCCCGTCAGTCATGGGGAGAAACCTGAAAAATTTAATGGGGGCAGAGTTTAAAAGGTGGCAGCAGAAAATGATGTTCCACCTTATAACTCTGAATCTAAGCAAGTACCTAACTGAGACTACCCCAGTGCTAAATGAGGGTGAGACTGACATTACCAAGCTAGGAGCTGTTGATTCATGGAAG